GGTTTGTGGAAAACCGGAAGACTCAATAACGACAATGCTCTTCAGTGGATTTATTACTTTTCTCCTATGTCCACTGTGTATTTGCATTTATCGTTGGAGGCAATTGCACCGAATACACAGTTCGAGGATTTTACTCCTTATTATGGGGGAGTGGCTGATGTTGAGGGTACGTCGACTTCTCATCTACGTAATTTTAGAGAAGGGACAAGCTCAACAGTGAGAGAAATGGGTAAATGAGGATGGGGAAGAAGGTGATGAATATTTCATTCTCGGTGAAGATGATTTCACATACGAGACCTTAGAAAACGAATCAGATAGATCGGTAAATCAGAAGTGTGAACCCGAGTTCATTGAAAAAGAACACCCCTTTCCTAGTGGTGGTCGCCACATATACCGCGTGATGGGTGAATGGGAGCCGTCCAGGATAGATGAGAACGAGTATGCTATTCCACTCTGGAATGACGACATTGAGACCATACGTTTGGGTAAAGCTTTAGGAGCAAGGGAGAAGCCCAAACGGCTATAATGGCTTGGAACGTCGATAGGTTGCGGGAGATTCGGACAAATGATTCAAATCAAAAGTCATACAAAGTGGTCTGCAAATCTAATGAAGATGTGCCTTGTGTGTGGAAGGCTCGGGTGACTAAGTCCAGACGGCTTCATGAAATGTGGGAAATAACTGAATGGACTGACAGACACACTTGTATGCAACGGGTCGAGAGAAATGACCACAGTAACATGACTGCTCGTATGATTTCAAATCTTGTAATTAACAAGATTCAAAATAAAGTGGACTACAACGTTAACATGATCTAGGCCGATGTGAAGCAGTGTTGAAAAGTCGATGTCAGCTACAAGAAGGCATGGCACGGAAGGAAAAAAGCCATCGATCATGTGTATGGCAGTTGGGAATCGAACTTCGCAGAACTCCCTGGGTAAGCAAAAATTAATAACAGATATATGTGTTTTTTGTCTGTCACTATGTTTATTTATTTATGAAACCATTTTGTAATGTGCAGGTATTTTGTCGCGCTTCAAAGAGCGAATCCCAACACAGTTGTATAGTAAGAATGGCAGGGTGGTGAAATGGCGCGACACCTTTGAGATACAGAATTCAAATTCGTATTCAGGGCGTTTGGTCCCGCGATACAAACCTTCCAAATATGCCCGCCGATTATTAGCATCGATGGCACACATTTTCGTGCATTGTATAAGGGAAAATTGCTTGTGGCCATAGCACAGACTGCGAATAAGCGGCTATTGCCAATCGCGTATGCGATTGTGGATGAAGAAAGCACGGACAGTTGGTCATTTTTCCTTAGGAATCTGCGGCAACAGTCTTCGACAGATTGATCTGCATTCGTTCCGACAGGGACGTGGGCCTACACAGTGCCATTGAATCATTACAAGATTGGAAAGAACCCGTTGTGTATCACCGAATTTACCTTCGACACCTTCGAAGCAACGTGGTGACTAGGTTCAGGAGTAAGCAAATCTGGAATCGGTGTTGGGATTTGGGTTCGCCGTTGTCGAACCGAAAGTTTCAACAGACAAAAGAGCGACTCAATGAATTTAATCCCGAAGCATACAATTACCTTTTCCAAATTCCTTTGAACCAGTGGACCCTGTATCGAGATGAAGGACGTAGATGGGGCACCTTGACAACGAATATGTTGGAGAGTTACAACAACGTCCTGAAAGGGGTTAGGTTCATGTCGTGCAGAGCTTTGGTAGATGCCACATTTCACAAAACTCTGGATTTGTTTCAATTGGAGCAAAAACAAGTCCAGCAGATGCAGGAGTCCCATTGCTAGGGAGCACTTTGTCACATTTTTGCAGTTGGAGCAGACAACCGCAACTCGTGATGTGCGTTGTCTGGACTTGCGGTTGTTTGGACGCCGACAGATCCATGTACTGGGTGACAACCGGTCTACGAGCTCGTGGAAGAGGGCAAAACAAGTAAGTATATGGTACTTTTTTTTTTTTGTTGATTCAAATTGATGACTTTGTATATATATAAATCACTGGGAAAATACAGGTATAAGGTTGATTACCACGGAAAACGTTGTACTTGTCGGAAGTGGCAGACGCACAGGAAACCGTGCTTTCATGCAATAGCCGTCTGTCGGAACATTGGGGCTGACCCAAAGCTGTTGTACGATGAGCACTTTTGGACCGCGACCTGGCTAGCTCAATTTTCTAATGTAATTTTGTTCCGATTGGTAATCCGAATGCATGGGCGTCAGTCGAATGGAACTTGATACCACATTGGGAGAGTATCATCTTGAAGCTTGGACCCAGTCGCAAACAACCGAGACGCTATCGCATGCAAATGGATCGTCGGGCGCGCCGCAAAAATAAAAGGGGATATTGTATTAGATGCGGTGATCCAGAGCATGGTGTGGATGAGTGTCCGTCCTCACATCCTCGCAGCGATAGATCTAGCTTCCTGATGTGTGGGGAAATTAGATTTTTAGTGTTTATTTGGATTTGTTTGGATTGTTCATTTGGATTTGGTTGGGTTGTTTATTTTATTTTGTTTGGATGTTTTATTTTAGGCTTAATTGCAAAAAAAATCATGACCTTTTCGTAATTTGCAATTTTGTACACCACCTTTAAAATTGGCAAATTAATACATCACTTTAACAATTTTTTGCAATTGTATCCATACGGGCCAAAAATCGGTCAGTTCTATGTGTTATTGTCAATATGAAAAGCCCGATTTTTAGCCCGTATGGATATAATTGCAAAAAAATGTTAAAGTGATGTATTAATTTGCCAATTTTAAAGGTGGTGTATAAAATTGCAAATTACAAAAAGGTCATGATTTTTTTTGCAATTAAGCCTTTATTTTATGTGAGTTTGTTTGGATGATTTATTTGGATTTGTTTGGAAGGTATTTAGGTAGATTGGTTGATTTTTTGTTTAATTGGTTGTTTTGAATATCTAAAACAGGTTTTTTTTGTTAAAGAATGGAAAAAACTAGTTTTTTTTTTTTAACTTCCAGTTTAAAACGTATTCTTGTAATACGTTTTACATTAAAAAAAATAAACAGTATAACGTATTTCCATAATACGTTGTATACCTATTTATATTTAAAATATATTACTAGAATACGTTTTACAAATAAATAGGTATAAAACGTATTATGGAAATACTTTTTATGTTAATTAATTTTTTGCTTAAAATAATATAGTATAATATAATATAGTATATAATATATAGTATATAATATATAATATATAGTAATATAGTATATAGTAAGATAGTATATAATATAATATAATATAGTATAATATAATATATTATAATATATAGTATATAAAATATAGTAAGATAGTATATAGTATATAGAATATAGTAAGATAGTATATAGTAACATAGTATGGTGAATTTTATTTTCATATTAATTAGTTTGAATTTTATTTCTAGTATGGTGCCATGGAGGGGCTTATAACACATTACAGAGTGTTCACGACTATATTGATGCAGTCCCTCCAAAGGTGCAGACCGCATTCCAACAGGCCCAGAACATTCTCTACAGTTCTATGACTGTTGGAGGCCAAGTGGTCAGACAAGGGGCGTCGTCCAGTCAACTTCTATCTCAAGTACGTCCCTTCCCAGAGGACACAGTCACACCAATCGAGGCATCGACCGGCTGGCGACATTGGTGGAGGTAGAAGACGTCGTGCCCGCGAATCCGCTGCCAACACTGGGTCTGAGGAAAACGGAGAAGGTGAGAATTTTTTACTTAACAAATAATGTTTTTTTTTATTTATTTATTTATTTTTTTTGTTTTGTCCAGTCGAATTTCTAATTTTTTTTTTTAAAAAAAATTAATAACTCAGGTGAAGAAGAAGAAGCTGCCACACATATCACGAACACAGCAGCCTCGTCTTCTTCAGCACCAAGGCCTTGGAAAGGGTCCCGACAGCGCAGAGCTCCAGGAAGGAATCCTTACATTCCTTCCTAGTTAGTTTGTGTTGTATGCAATTAAATTTGTGGACATATTTGTTTTGTATTTATAAACCGTATTTTGACCTTTTTGTATATAGTAATTCTTGAATAAATTATTGTGGTTGATCATTTTTTATAGTGTATGTTGGATTATTTTTTGGCGAATTGATAGATATGAGTTAGTTGAACAAGTTTATTTGAACAGGTTGATTGAACAGGTTTATATAGTAAATATTTTTTTTTTATAAACAGTAGTTTTTCAGAGAAAAACGTATTCCCTAAATATGTTTTACTAAGAAATTAAACTCAATTTAGGGCAAAAATAATTTGGCGAAAAAAAAAAAAAAAAGTATTTTCACAATCGTTGTACATTTTCAAAAACTTATTTTTTGCCAAAAAAAAAAATAATTTCAAAATTCTAAAATTAATTTTAATAATAGAACGTATTTCACGAATACGTTTTAATAGTAAAACGTATTTGCATAATGCATTTTATTTTTTTTTAATTTAAAACGTATTTTTATTATACATTTTACTCTCTTTTAATTAAGATTAATTAACTTAATTACGTTATTTTAATTATTATAATCTTAACCGTATTTATGAAATACGTTTTTTAAGCTAAAACGTATTCTAAGAATACATCTTCCAATGAAAATCGTATTATCAGAATATGTGTGTTTTATTTTTGTCTACTTTTTTTTTTTGTCAAGTAATTTTTTTTTTTTTTTTGTTTAAATAAATAAATCAATCAAAACCTCTAAGTAGAAACCAAGGTGAACATTGCCAACATCTTTTCACTTGATTTTTCAATGGCTAGAATAAACTCGAGAATTTAGTTGTTGTACTTGGATTCTAGACAGCTAATGTCCCGAGACTATATGCTAGATGTTTGTTAAAATGATTGAAGGATACAACTAAAAAACGATCGTCCATTGATTTGGTAAAGAATTTGAGTAGATGCACAAGCATTAGGGCAGTGCATATGAACGAGGATAGTAGTAAAGAGAGTGCAAAAAGTGACGAGCAAAGTTCAACTCTATCTAGGCTGGTGAAACTTGAGCTTCTATCAAGGCTGGTGAAACTTGAGCTCCATCGTTATTAGGATACTCCTCAATGGGAACTGATACTCCATCTTCTCGATCAGCCGACAAACTCTCGTTGTTGTGCACACCTTTCTCTGCAAAATGAAATGCCTCGTTGTCCTCAATGATATCAACGTTCTTGAGTTGGTTGTTGGGTTGCGAACATTCCCCAAAGTCCTTGTCAGCAGCACTTTCGGTTTCATCCTCCAAGTCCAAGCTGCTACTTTTGCCGGACCCCACCTCATACATGCCAACAAGATTCGGGTCGAATTCGTTTAAGTTGATTATCGGCGGCTGATGATGGCGTGGGGGTATGGAGAACCCGATTTGGCCGCTCCTCAATCTCTCCCGATAACCCTCCATTTCAATCCTGTACCTCTCCTTGTCCTTCACAGCTTTCTCTTGATAAACCTAAAATATCACAAACACAATTAACACAAAATTGATTAAAAGAAAAAAGAGGATTCAATTCAACTGTGCTTATGCTTACTGCTCTCTCGGGTTCTTGCAGCTTGTTCCAAGTCTCCCCAATAATCCTACTGATCTCTCTATCCTTCCCATGGTAAAGCGGCTTGAGCTTCGCATGCTGCTCGGCAAAAAAGAAATTGTAACCGCTTCTGTTGGGCTTCGGATGAGACGGGTCTCGCTTTCTTATTTCCGACTTCTTCCTACGCTTGCGACGTCCACCTGGCGGCTTTCCCGCCACATCCACAAAATTTTGAGGACTTTGAAAGGCTTGTGTGTTGTTCGTTGTCGGGACCTGATAGAGAACCCCTTTGAACTCATCTACCCCTATTTTAACTGTGATCAGATATCCACTCTCGAATTTTCCATCAATTACACCACAAACTGCTGAACCAGCTGATGCTGCTGCTAATGCTTCTGAAACTGGAAAATATATTAGTGAATTTCATACAAACCATCAATAAATATTAGACAATGAAAGTTGAAAAACTAGAAAAACCAAGTATTTATGCCACTAGCAAACAACCAAATAAGAAGATTGAAGAAGCTGAAAAGATCAAGTACAAAAGATTAACTCGGACCTTGGGGCATTGAAGTTGCATTACTAGCTGATGCGTGAATTTGATGAGCGGCTGGCGGCCCGTGTCCGGAAAATCCATGAGGAGTCGAAATATTTGCAGACAAATGTTGCATGGTATCTGCAGTTATATTTACACTCAGTACACATGCAAACAAAAACAAGAAAAAATGTAAAGTTTTGTTGCGTAACGAATAGATGATTATGTTTTCCATTAGAAATTTTAAAACTCACCGGAAGGTGAAGGAGTCCAGCACTTAGCCTTGAATAAGTACGTCTGTTCGAAGTGGTAAAGGAGCGAGACGTAATACTTGCGTAGAATAAACGACGCGTTTGTCGCCGACGAAGGGAAGCTGAAAGTCGAAGTAACTTCTTTCCATCTCTTATCCTTCAAAACCTGTCTCGAAACGAGTCGAACATTCGATCAAGCTCAGGTAAAAAACTAGTGTCCGAATGTAACGCTCCGCGCCGTAACGAACAAACAAGATGGGATATTAAGAAGAAATAATCAGACCAATTTCTATCAAGATTATCTATTTTTTTACCATAAATGAACAAGTGATTTAAACAAGACCTTTGCTATCCCACCACGAGAAGTGACTTGAACAAAGAGATGATGCAAGTCCAAGTCTCTGCCCCCAACAATTGGGATCCTGGCCAAACAACAAACCATTAAACTACTTAATTTAAACAGCCCTTTTATAGCTACCAAATGAAAAGGGTATATTGTGTGATTGAAAATGTACATGAATTTAGTGCCCATAGAAGCATGAAACTTCTTGAGGGTGTCGGTGAAGAGATCGCGTGAGCCGACGACATCTTCGTACGTAGCCAAGGGAGGTGGGTAAGGATGATGATGATGATGACCAGACTCTACTCCTCCTTCACTTCCTTCTCCACTCATCATCATCTAAATTTCACTTTTTCAACTGAATTTTTAGTGAAAAGAAACAAAAGGGCACAGCAAAATATATGTCATTTGAGTGTCCAATGAAAACAGAATGTGTTTTGAGAGTTTGAGAGAGAGAGAGAGAGAGAGAGAGAGAGAGAGAGTTTAAAATTTGAGCCTTAAAACAAAAACAAAAGAGTGTTAAGGCAAAGAAAAGATGAGAAGTGGAAAGACCCAAAATCTTTGAAATGCTAAAAGACAATAAAACAGCAGATTTGAACACATATAAAACCCAGTGAGAGAGAGAGAGAGAGAGAGAGAGAGAGAGAGAGAGAGAGAGAGAGAGAGAGAGAGAGAGAGGGAGAGAGAGGGGGAGAGAGAGTTTAATTTGAGCTTTCAAACCAAAACAAAAGATGAAGTGGAAAGACCCCAAAATCTTTGAAATGCTAAAAGACAAAAAGACAATAAAACAGCAGATTTGAACACATATAAAACCCAGTGAGAGAGAGAGAGAGAGAGAAAGAGCATAACCTTAGAAAACAGAAAGGACAAAAGGCAACAACACCAGATTTGTGAGTACAGTTGTGAATAGTAACTGCCCTTCTTCAATGACATGAACTAATTCCAAACACCAGAAAAAAAAAAAATCCCACACAGCCCAATAAGAAAATTTATTGATAACCCAACTTTTTACTTGTATAATTACATGAAAGAAAAAAAAGAAGAAAAAAAAAGCAGAAGGCCAGCTAGCTGCTATGTGTTACACTTTTTCATGCAAAATGCTGATGATATCAATAGTCTGTCTTATAAAGCAAACACTTACTAACACCTTAATAATAATAATAACATTGAAACTGAGAACTATTTCATTTTCAAGAGAATTTATTTTGTCATAATATTAAGCCATAATAAATGTACACACACCATGGATGGATGCAAGAAAAAAAGCAGAGCAGCTTTTTATTCAATACAATGCAAGGGTTTTTTTAATTTCATTTTAACAAAAAAGAGAAAATGGGGAAAAAATTAAATCACCTCATAAATCAGAAAATGTGACATTTTTCAAGAAAAAAATAGTCTTTTTTAGAATCTCTCTCTCTCTCTCTCTCTCTCTCTCTCTCTCAATCTCTCTCAAGAGATTACATGTGGGCATGCAAAAGGCTATAAATGAAGTGTATGAAATTGCAGGCAGTCTACAAGAGGCTATGCATAACAATCTCTCTCTCTCTCTCTCTCACTCTCTCTGTCTCTCTCTCTCTGACAAACCAAGATATGACATGAAATTTACTGTAATGATATGAAAATACTATGTACTATTGGATTAAACAAAAGATCCTCTCTATTCTATTCTATTCTATTCTATTCTACTCGATGATCTATCCCTTTTCACTCTGACACTCTTTCGGATTTCCAATATCCCATTTTTATTTGATTTTAAACCCACTTTCCCATGATTCTCAATACTATCATTAAATGATACATATATAATTTTCTTGAAAATTAAAATAAAAAAAAAATAAACAAGAAATTAAAGATTATCAAAACATGATAATATTATATAGTTTTTATAGAAATAATTAATAACATTCAAGAGAAGGGCTCAAAGTTTTCACCTTTTTTTCTGAGGGATCTTTGTATTTTTCTGATGGAAATACAAATACTTAGGGTAAGGAGATGTTTTGTATTTAATTTTTACTGATGGTGATGGTGCAATTTTATGTTTGTTTTTTTAATAGTTATTTTTATATATTATGTTTTTTTTTTTTCATTCGCATTCTACGCAACGAGGTTAACGGTTTCTAAGCTATTTACAAGTAATTTTGGTCGTATTTGAACTTATGGATGTACGGTGGTAAGTAAAAGATTGATTGATTCACATAAATTTAGTTATAAACATTCAAATGTTGAATAATTAGGCCTAATTATAAGGTAGGCAGTTATGGAAGAGTAGTAGGACTCTCCTCCTATTTCCAGTTTATCAACGGGACATTAGCTACCCCGCCAATCTTATTATTATTATTGTTGTTATTATTATTATTATTATTATTATTATTTTGGGAAGCTTTTACCGATTTTTTTTTTTCGTCAAATTAAATTTTTATAGATCAAAATGAAAATTACATCGACCGTTTCCCGAGATACAAAAGCAAAGTGGGCGACTACAGTCCGACCCCTCACTTGCTAGTCAAAATAAAATAAAGAGAGGCAATCCACATTTCGGATGCTCAACTCAAACCTTATCGAGCCGAAAATGGTCTTAATGAGCGCAGGTGGGAGGTTTCGCAAGTATGAACTGGCGAGGAACGGTTCTTCGCGGCCTCGGGTGGGGCATTTCGCGGGCAGTTGGTTGGCAGGGGTTCTCGAACTCGCGAGGTAGCTAGAACTTGCGGGCGGCTTCGCGGGCGCGAAACGTGGCTCCATGCTCTCAAACTCGCGGGGTAGCTTGGACTCGCGGGCAGCTTCGCGGGCGCAAACATGGCTACAGGGTGTCATTCTCGCAGAATCTGAACTCGCGGGGTATTAGCAAGTCGCGCGCGCGAATTTTGTTCAATGTCCAGCAGGCCTGCTCGCGAAATGGGTGTATCCTGCGAAGGTTATTTCCGCGGCGCGAATTTTGAGTTGCTTCCAAGGCTTTAAGGAGGTTAGGCCAAGCCATTTTCGAGGGCTTTTCTCTCCATGTCGGCAAGGACATTCGGTACAAAGCAAATATATTCCTACAAACATGGGTTTGAATCTTCCGGATAATGAGCTCCAGAGTTTGCACCTCGTTTTAAAAAATCTTCCTATTTCGAGCATTCCAAAAGAAGTATATCGTAGATGCGATCCCGGCCTTTGTAGCTTTTGTTCTCCAATCGGAGCCTTGGGATTCCTTCTTAATCCACTTCAATGCACTCTTTAGTGTGGAGAGTTGCCGCCTCAATCCTAGCCAATGTCGGATGCCAAGCCAAACTTGAGGCGAAAGGAGACAAGTGAAAAAAAGATGGTCCTTGGTCTCGGAAGTTTCCCCACAAAAAGCACAAGTAAGGTCAATATCAAAGAAGCCAAGCCTATCCTTGGTTCGGAGCCTCCCAAGCGTTGCAAGCCAAAGGATGAAGGCGTGTTTAGGGGTATTGGCGGGCCCCCAAACCACTCCCTTCCAAGGGACGAGTGTACCTTGGGACCGGAAGAACTCGTAAACGCATGAGGGCCCCTTGGAGTGAGATTTGGAGTCCCAAAGACTTGTGCAATCATCAGATGGCTCGACTTATGGAGTCATCCATAGTTATCCACAAATGGTGTATTGACATGTGGCCTGCAATAAATATACATGAACACGTGTCAATACATAAGTATGTAGGAGAAAATTCAGCCAACATTAACTTGTCAAGAGCTTGGGACATGGTGTATTTATAGGCTCCATTAAGGACTTTAAGGGGGTGCTAAATATGGGTTTATCTCATTGGGCCAAGGAATCCTAATTCTATTCCATCTATTAATCCAAACAAGTATAAAACTCTCCTACTAATCATCACCTTCTAGAAGACTCTCAAGTCTCCTAACCTTAGACAATATTCTAGTAGGAATATTATCTTCTCCATAGAATAATAAATATGGAATAAAATTAATTCTTTATTAAATGAAATTAAATAATAAAACATCCCACTAGAATAATATTATTGATCTCCCCATTTAGCTCATATTTTTATCAATAAAATCGAACCTCCATGATTAATTATATTAATTTGATTGACTGATTTACGTCCCTATGTTTAAGATATAACGTCCGTCGATTAATTAATTTACTCACAAAATAATTAATCAACTTCTTATTCATTTTTGAAATTAGTATCTGATATAGCCACACTGTCGTATAACGGTTTATGGCATCACGGTTCAGAGATTATCGAGTCGACTTACGCAAAGTCGACTCTCTCCGCAGATTCTCTATGATATTCCCAGACAAGGGTCCCAGCACTTATCTAAGTCGACTTCCGCATGTCGGCTAGCATAAGTCGATTTCCCTCGAGATGACGACCAACGTGTCATGACCTATCACCGGTTGAATATGACCCAGTCGACTCGGGTAGATATCCCGAGTCGATTGTGGAAGTCTTGAAGCTCGTAGATCTCGACGACTTCAGTATACTTCAACGTACCGAAGGAAGACTATCAAAGATAAGGAAGAATCTAGATGCTGACTAGGAAGTGGATGGAATACGAACCGACCAGGGTATTTTAGACATTTCCAGTAAGTCGGTTGGGGCATTTTGGGGACTTCAGGTAAATTTTTTACTTCTATATAAAGGAGCTGAGGTAACTCCAAAACCCTAACTCCCATTCATTCCACATTTCTTCTCCATTGCTGCTGCTCTCTCAGAGCAACTCTCTTCATCTCTTTCACATACTGACTTGAGCGTCGGAGGCTCTACGCCGGAAACCCCTCCGGCGTTGAGTTCTTGCAGGTGTTCTTGCGGCTCTACGACGGTTCGAAGGCCATCAAACCAGATCTGAGCTCATTCATACCGGTTCATCTCAGATCCGAACGTTTTTCCATTAGGCCGTCCAGATCTGAGAAGAGACCCATCATTTGGCGCCGTCTGTGGGGAGCTCTTGAAGGAAGTAAGAGCTTTACACCTAGTTTGGATTTATTTCCGATGGCTGACAAGGAAGGACCACAGAAAAACTTGAACGAAGATTTCAGGGCGGCATGGACTGACAAGCGACCTCCGCCGATTCCCAACCCCAGACCGCCACTCCAAGTGTTCGGTTTCCCACTGTTTGGGGCACACGCGCCGTCAGGAGGGCGTATGGGGGAAGAAACGCCTATCACCCCACCAGGAGTCAAGATCCCAGTGCTCACTCAAGGGGAGACCAGTCACGTGAGGAGCACGAGCGGAGAAGTCAACGGTCGTGAGTTAATCGAGAGGCTCTTAAGTCTGGGAAAGCAGCCTGGACCGCTTGAGCCAGGACAGAGACCGCTGCCCTAAGGCGAGGAGCAAATGCTGACCACAACACGGGGCGAGATGCAGAGGATGATTGCC